GCCATGTGAATATATGATTTCAAATAACAAAGCAAGGGGATATAGGATTGTAGAAAGGGAATTCCTACCACAAAAATAAGAAACAAACTAATATTAATTAAACAATAGTGTAGCAAACATGACAGCATTATAGAAACAGGTCTTATATATTACCCCATAAAAGACACCAGTGCAAAGTCTATTCAGTTAATATTATTAGTACCATGGTAAGACATGGGGTAAGCTATTAGATAATTACTTTTCACAATTCAAAAAAATTAAGTTTCAGAGTCAGAGGATTAAACACCAAAACATTGTGCTGTAACACAAACGTAAGATACACAAATTACAACAAAAATGAAAAAATATAAGTTGGTGCCTGATTAAAATGAACAATAGTTAATATTTAGGAAATATTAAATAATTAAATAAGATAAAAATAAGTTCTTTTATTTGAAGTTAACAACAACCCCTCACCCACACAAAAGGAAGAAAGGAACCTAGCTTACATTTCCTTGTGCTGGCTAGTTTTATGTCAACTTGACATAAGCCAGAGTCATCAGAGAAGAGGGAGCTTCAATTAAGAAAAAGTTTCTATAAGACCAGGCTATCACATTTTCTCAATTAATGAGTGATGTTGGAGGGCCTAGCCCATAGTGGGTCGAGCCATTCCTGAACTGGTGGTTCTGGGTTCTATAAGAAATCTTGGAAGCAAGCCCATAAACAGCACTCCTTGATGGCCTCAGCAACAGATCTGTCCCTAGGTTCCTGCCCAGTCTTGACTTCTCCAAGGATAAGGACTGATGTGTAAGTGTAAACCAAATAAATCCATTTGCTCTCAATTTGCTTTTGGCCACAATATTTCATCACAGTAACAGTAACTCTAATTAAGACATTTATAATATAAAAGAATAGTGATGAAAACTATGTGCATTTATACCATATATGTTATGCAGTATTATGCAAAATGTTAAAGTTGACCAAGAATTTAGTAGTAACATAGTCATGCATGTTTTTAAGTTGAATAGCTTTTAAAATATCCATAACACAAACTAACTCTACAATATCACATTTTCTGGGGAGACACACAAGGATTGTTAGGAACTCAGTGACAACATAACTCTCACATAATATGTAATGCCAGGAGATGTCAGATCATAAATATATCTTAAAGATGTTGATTTGTCTTTCATTGTCTAAAAGGTGGGGTAAGATTAGCATTATTTCTTCTTCATGTGCTTGCTACATTTTTCATGGGTTTGAGTTTCTTTTTTCTTTCTTTAATTTGAAACATTTTGATAGTAATTTTTGTTTGACTTTTTTCTATTTCTATTTCTATTTCTGATAATGATATTTTTGATGTTATTCTGTTAATATACCCAGTAATTTCATGTGAAATTCCAAAGTTATTGGAGTTTTTCTACATTCTGTATCATCTGTAGTTATGACTCTAATGACAATGGGATTTTGAGTTGCTCTTTTCCCTATCTCAGAGTTAGCTGCCCGTGTATTAATATAAAGCAAGGAAGTAAGCGATCATGAAACATAGGTCAAATTTTTTTCTATTACCTTCAGGTGGAAGGTTGAAAAATTTATAAAATTTCATTTTTAGTAATATTTTCTTGAATGCATAGTCTCTAAGCACTGCTTGGGTTCATTCATAAATAAAGTGTTGCTTTATTATGTTCTTCAAAATTATTTTAAATCTCCCTCAAATTTATAACATGATTTGTAGATTATAAGACACATCTCTGTAATTTATAAGGGTATTTTTTGAAGGATTAATTTTAGAGGGAGACCCTCCTTCAGAATAAGGAATGTCTTCTGGCAGCAGCCCAGCCAAAAGGAAAAGCTGTTGATATTTACCTGCCTGCCTGGTGCTTTCCTTGCTGGAGAACACATCTCCTCTATGACTGCCACTATAGCTGTTTCCCTTTGCTGAGATTGGAATCTGACTTCTTTCGCTTGTTGATAAGGAGTGAAGACCTGTGGCTCTCAAGACTGGAACTGCCATGGCACTTGGTACTAAGGACTGAGCAATTACCACATTCTCAGCCCTGCCAGCATGGAGACGGCCATTGTTTGACTCCCCAGACTGACTTGTATGAGCCGATACAATAAATACCCTCTGTAATATATGCTCCAGACATTTTGTTTCTCTGGAGAACCCTGATACTGGTTGATGAAGCTGGACTTAGACAGAACTGTTTCTTTGTTCAATTGTTGCACATGCTGGTATGAATAGACCTTACCTTACTGTACATTTTCCCAGGAAACAGAGCTCAACAAGTTATTTGTTCCAGAATGTATGTATGGGTGAAAGTCAAGTTACAGGGTAACTTGTGCTAATCCATTAAAGTGGGTAATTACCCACAAATGCTTTACAAACTACCAGGAGATGGATAACTCTCTCTAATAAGTTCAGCACATGAACTATCACACATGGATACAGGATTTCTTAGAAAATAAAATCCAGCTGGAAGCTTGGCAGGGGTATTTGTCTGACAAGGGTCTTTAACTTTACTCTTTCAGAATAGATTCCTGGAGGCTCCATTTGAGATTAAACTGTGACTAGCCAGAAAGGCTGTAAATAATCAACAGAAAACATTAAGAATGTTTTTTTGGAGACACACATTCTTTTAGCCAAAACTATGTGTTGATAGCTGAATAGATTTTAAATGGGTTAAAAATGAAAAATCAAGATGACAAGTACATCAACCTGTTGGGCTCAACTTGGTTCTTGCTTCCTATGTATTTTTCTGCTAATGCTATTCTTACAAGGAAGGCAAACATGACCAGTGACGCAAATACTGCCACAGAGGGGCCTATGTAGAGGTCTCTCAGCACTACTGAACATGCCTATCTGCCCAGCTCCTATCCTGGTCAAGCCTTGTTTCATATTCCAACAACTAATGTCCAATAAAGGAGACCAAAACAAAAAAAGAAATCCTTTGACATACACACCAAGGCTAAAAAAGCACCAACAAGGAGCAGTTCCAAAAATAATTTTGAGCAACGATAGGTAATTAAACTTGTGCAGAGCCAATAACTGCTGTTATTTATCTTTATTATTCCACAGAATTGTTTTGAAGCTTACATAGTTACCATATATGATATGCATAAACAGTAACACACAGTAAACCAACATTTACTATCACAATTACTTGGCAAAAGTGGCCCTCTTACAATGTTCTTCATAGGCTCATGAAGTCGAGTGTGATTGGTTCACAGCCCACACTATGTGCTGAAATTGAAACTTGAACTAAATGCTTATTATTGGAACTCGGTTTTCTTTCAACACAATATTATGCCAATTCTTCAGGGCAAACTTTCTCTATTCTAACTTATTCCAAATCAGTCCATAGTTGAGACAATAAAAGACAATTTCCACCCAGTGAAATGAATAAAACCTATGAATTAAAGTGATCATTCAAGTCACAAGATAGAAAATAAGGGGCTGAATACTGTGTTTAACTTTTGACTCATGACATTTTTGTTTATAAGGCTTGCATTTTAAAATTACCTATAAACTACATTATGGAGCACAACACCTGGATGTACAGTTGAGTCAAACTTTATGTCCTATAAATTAGTGATGATAAATAATCAGCAATGTAAATTGCCAAGGAAGCATCTAAAACAGTGGTTCTCACCCCTCCTAATGCTGCAACCCTGCAACATAGTTCCTCATGTTGTGGTGACCCCAACCATAAAATCGTTTCATTTCCATGTCACTCCTGTAATTTTGCTACTGTTATGAATCATAATCTAAATACATGATATGCAGGACATCATTTATGTGACCCCCACGGGGGGTCACAACCGACAGGTGGAGAATCACCATGCTAGAGCTTATGTATGGATCTCAGTAGCACAAATGTCATTTGTGGCCTCTGAACACTCCAATGGGAAAAATAATGACAAAATTCAATTTTAAAGTCATTATAGTATAGGAAAAAGAAACAAACCATTTCTAAGGGCTCTAAAGTAAATCCCTCAATAATTTTCTCCTTTTGGGTGAAACACACATGATTTATTCAATGTGTACTTCAGTAGAGTCCAGGAATTCTAAAAGCATCTGTGGCCATCAAGGTAGAGTTTTAATAGCAGGACACCAAATGCCAATAGAGGACCGAATGCTGTGCACAATTTCAGATTGTAACAGAACAATAGAAAGATTAGCTCAAATTTATTTCATAATAAAATATCTAAAAATAATATGCCTCTTTATACAACTTTTGGATACCATTATGCTGCTTCTTTTACAGTGAAAGCTATGCAAAGTAACAGTATCTTTTAGATTGACAACTAGAAATTTAACACACTGTTTTTATGTTTTAGTAACAAACAAAACATATGTTTTCAGGAATCCAGATGAAAATAACAGTTGTAAACTGGGAGAAATAACGTCTGTACCATGTTTTATTACGAGCAAAGTCTTGTGTATGATGAGAACCTCAGAACAGAAATCAGCACACCCATGCGTTCACATGTTGGCAAATGTAGCTCCACTGAAATCTAATCTATACTTTCCAATCTTCACAACTCTTTTTCTTCTTTAAGCATGCATGCTCAAAGCCCCCTTTACCTTAATATATAGGACATATCACCATGACAACTATGGATTCATCAAATGAACACGAGAATTCACTTGGAGATAATCTCAACTTCAGTATAAAAATCAAAAATATTTTGAAATTCCTTTATACTAGCATGCATTCCTCTGAGCTTCATTTTCCCATATAATATAGACATTAGTTTTTAAATAAGGTCTCATATAGCACATGCTGACTTTAAATTCACTATGCAGCAAAGTATGTCCTTGAAAGGATCCTATCTCAACCTCCCAAGTGTTGAGATTACAGGTATGTGACACATGCCAACATGGATGATTTTTATTAATCCTATGGCTAAATGTTGTATATTTCTCCACTTAACTATAATAATGCAAATGTATATCAGCATAATTAATTTATAACTGTTTCTTTTCAAAGTGTATTTTAAAGGCATGATAAACTTACCTTAGAGAGGCCACCTACTTCCAAATAAAAGCAGATGATGAACACATTCCAGGTGACCCAGAGGGCACTCCACACTGTGTACTGGATAGGAAACGGGTTGAGAGAACAAGAGAGAAAGAGAAAAGAAGATGAAAAACACATATTGGAAATAAAACAGTTACAGAATTATCAGTAAATGTAAGTCCTTTGTTGTGGAGTTTCTTCGATGCCCATCTTCCTCTCTGATGTAATTGGTGCTGCCGGGAGGAGTTGTGTCTCACTGTCATGAAAAACCCTAAAACATTTTAAATGCCATGTTCTGTAGGTCTTTGAAAGGTTTGAAGAATATCTATCCATTTGAAATATAGCTCTGTAAATCTAGAAAACTTAACATGATTAAAAGTTTGACTGTCATAGGTAACTATCTATAATCTGTATTTAATTACACATTACATACTTAAAAGAGCTGTATAAACACAATATCTGAACAAGAGAAGAAATATACATAACAAAGTTGACCTTGCATTTGGTTCAATAAACTGAAATCCATATCAATGTAAAGTATTCATTTCTATGCCAGTCCTTTGTGAGGAAATAGAGCACAGTCAGAAAAACTTTTTTAAGAGTACCCTAAGATTTAAAAATTGAAAATCCGATGGTTCTGACTGTTTTTAATGACTGTATAGAAACCTAGATTTCTAAATGCTTTTCTGACTTGCAGTCCAACTTAAATCTGAGTGCTCATGTGATTTCCATTTTCTGTGCACTATGTTTTCAAAAGAACACAATTATGCAGTTTTCTGTGAGCCATCAATCTACCCACAACTCTCTATGTATCAATGTACTATCCATAATCTATCATTCTGCCTATCTACAGACCCACAGAAATATATCCAAACATTCAGACATTAGACAGATAAATATTTAATTCATAACTTTAAATTGTCTAATTTTAGAAATTTAGTCACAGTAAACCCTCCATATCTCTGAATGAAGACTTTGAGAATGGACATGTGGAATAAAGTTACCACATAACTCTCTTGTATTACTTTACTAAGAGCAGAACTCATGTTCCGGTAAACAAATATTGAAAGTGTAACCACATGAAATATCTTCAATCTATCCTTGTTATTTAGCCTTTCTGGGTCTTTAGATCACAGCACAATTATCTTTTACTTTACAGCTAATATTAATTTATAAGTGAATACAGATAGGGAGGATTAAGGGGTGATGCAAGGATCTTCCTGTGAAAGGCTAATAGAATGGATTTCGAGGGATGTACTTGGGGGTGACTGGAGTTGGGAATAGACAGGATAAAGTGGGAATGAGGGATGGAGAAAAAACTGGAAGAAATGCTTAGAAATGAGGGGCATTTTGTTACAAAACCTGAACTTGACATCTGTAATGAGGCAAGGCCTCAAGTGGAAGGACTGGGGCACCAAGCCAGTCATGAAACCTTTGATCTGCAGTTCGTCCCAACTGCAAAGTATTCTAAAACAGGAGCCCAGCATCATCATCACCATAGAGACCAGAGCGACTTCATCCAGTAACCAATGGGAGCAGGTGCAGAGTCACACAGCCAAAGTTAGGCAAAGCTCAGGGAGTCCTTTGGAGAAGGGGAGAAAGGGTTGGATGAACCAGAAAGGTCAGGGACACCAGGAGAACATTTCCCACAGAAACAACTGACTGGGACTTGCAGATATAAGGCATCCTGTAGGGGTCTGACCTAGATCCCCTGCATATATGTTATTGCTGACTAGCTTGGTGTCTTGTGGAACTTCTAATAATGGGCTCTGGGAATGTCTCTGACTTTTTGCATGCTTGTGGGATGCTCTTCCTCCTACTAGGTTGTCTTGTTGAACATTGATAGAATGGTTTTGTACCTGGTATTATTGTAGAATATTACGGCATATTTGGTTGATATCCCTGCCAGCCCTGCTTTTTTCTGAGAGGGAAGGCTCTGGCAGAGGTGGGGGGAAGGAAAACTGCAGTCAGGATATAATATATGTGAGAAGAATAAAAAACTAATAATACAAAATGCCTTACAATGCCAGAATATAATAACTAGGAGAATGAGCAAATGAACAGATTTCTTTTATTAAAAAAATACCGTTCATGCACGCCCTGGTGGAAAGGTCAAAATAGTCAGTGTCAACAAGAGCATTAGCCAATCTGATTTAGTGTAGTCCAGATCCGACTCCTGCATGGATATACAGAGTCCTAGATAATTGGGGACGGTATATGCTGTAAGCACGGTAGATTGATTAAATACAATAGTTTGCATGCTCTTCTTACTATACTGGAAAACTCTATGAATTCTTGAAATAGGCATGTAAGTTATGTCATTTCTTTCTATGAGTGATTGCAATCATTGTATCATGGTCTTAAAATAACATTTTGAAATTATTTTCCTTACATTATCTTTTCTGTGTTAAAATATGAACTTTAGGTACTACATTAAAACAACAATTTTACCAGATGTTTACTAAAAGTTTTGTCTGAAAGAATCAATTTACTTGGCCTCTGTCATCTATGTTTTTAAAGGTTTTAAAAATGATCTCATGTAGGTGTAAACTGAGTGAATATATTTGGTATAACATTATTCTGTTCTGGGTGTGTTTTGCTTTTAGAAAAAAAGATAATAAAATTATTTAATGCTCCACAGTCCCTGTGAATTTACATTAAAACTTGTGAAAGAGGTCACATGATCAGTGAGTGATAAGTTGTGATGGTTTAGGTGTTTGTAGCTATTACTAAAGTCATTCAAACATAATTTTCTGAACCATGCACTATTCCCATTGAAAAGAGTTTATCTACATTCTTAATAGAATGCCTTTATACATCACAGATACAAAAAGTATAGGTGTTCTTCTAATCAGAGGATTCCTATCATGATGATGCATACTCTGAATTAATCAAAAGTTTCTCAGCGCAGGTCAGAAATGCTGAACACCAAGTCCAGAGGAAAACCAGTGACAATGGCCAAGGAAAGATCTTCAACTGAAGCAAGAATAAACCAGAACAGAGGGGATTTCTGTTGTTATTTTTTCTATGCTGGGAACTAAAGAAGGCACTTGCAGACTCTAGGCAGGTTCTCTATCATGGGACCACATCCCAAGAAGAAGCATATAATCCTTAATCATTACAACCCCACTCCAAATCCATAAATACTGAGAATGTCCACAGTATAACAAAAGTAAAATAAAACAAGCCCTTTACAAAACTCACAGCACAAACAGTGCCTGAAGGGAACTAAGGATCTCCTGCAAGTTGTATTATAGATTCTGTTTCTGACCTTTCACAGACATTGATGGCAACTATCTAATTCTACACATTTGACTGTGCCAAAGGTCATTATGACACTTGTTGTGTTCCTAGTATTGCACGAGGCACTTTTCAAGTGGCCTATCACTCAAGGCACCATATTAAGCCCCTGAAGAATAGGTTATCCTTTGATTCCCTAGAGAATGCCAGGGTTGTCCTATGAAGCCTGGCAGACTGCCCCAGAGACAGCATGCTTATTTTAGTATGCTGGGTTTAGTATGCTTTAATGCAAACCACCTTAATAAAAGCATTCTATTAATAAATTGACTTCTCACTAAAATTTTCACTTCATCAGATGACAAGTGAATACAATGACCAGTTTATTAAAATTTGGCTCATTTATATGAATTCTATAACATAATGTTTTAGCAATGACAGTTTTTTTTAATATCTTGTCATTGATATGTCACATGTGGCAGTAACACGACAGATGTTTGTTTGGAGGGACAGAATGTTCTTTATAATAGCTCCTTCAATGCTTCTGGTTGAAAACAATGACTGCATTATTGAAATTTGGTTTGTGTGGAATATAAATGATACACTTCAATGTGTAGATGAGAGACTACATGAATCACAGACATGCAGAAGAGAACCTTAATAAGACCAACCCATGGATGGACATTTACCTAAGTCATCACCTTTGAGACTGGCTATTCACCCTACCTTGTCTTTGAAGTGGGTTGTTTTAATTAACAGTTCATCAGGCATGATGTTTACAGTACCATATGACCTGGTTTAGACAAATATCTGTTGGTTGGTATGGAGCATGGCAATAGGCTTGCATATTTATGTAGTTCAGATAGAATCAAAGTATAAATGACTTGACTTCTCCATGTTAAAATTAACTGTATGTAATCTCTCCCTCTCCTCATTTACTTAAACTCAGTACACATATTTGAAGTCCTATTCTCACAGATAATGAGTGCATGGGTTTGTGTGATTTCCTAAACATTTCCTTGTTTTGTGAGGATATTTCAACATTTGGTAATTCAAATAAACACTTCATAATTTTCCCAGTCTGCATTTCCACCACTGAGTTTTGAGTCTTTAATGTGAATTATTTTTACTAACATGCCTCATTTTTTCCTATATGTGTGAATCTACCACAATATTAGCTCACAATATGCTATGAAACAAATAGGATAGGCTCTTTTTTCCATTTTTCTGCATTCACCTGGAATTCATCATTTTGTTGAGCAGAATCTTAATGGAAACCTGACATCCCTGTACCTTGTTAGTAAGGAAGGAAGAGTGAAGGCAAAAATATAGTAATGAATAGTTAACAGTTAATCAAATCAAGATTTGGTCTATGTTAGGACAGGTAAAACCTGCTGCTTATATTCTGATTACTGAAAAAAATTTATGAAATGAGTTATATAAAGGAGGTAAATACGTTAAATATAAAATCAAGTTCATGTTCCAACGCTTCACAGTCAATAATAAATGAAACAAAGTCTCTTCATCTGAAAACCTTGAATTCATTTATTGTTTCTTCATCATACATTAAGCTTGAGGTAGAATACAGCAATGGGTGGCTACAATTCTGCTCTCAAGAGAACATGGTGAATACAGTGTAGAAGTTAGAAGCTGTGACAAATAAGAGGAGCAAAGTAGGAAGTGACCAAAATCTGTGTTAATAGTCAGGACAAGGCACTTAGTCCTGCCTAGGTGCATAGTTTAGAGCCAGCTTTTACTAAGTGACAGTTTGGCTGAAGGACTATGAATTTTCCAAGAGTGGAAGGTTCAGAATGTGCCTCAGAGGAGGCAGAAGAACAAGAAGAGCACATGGTCCAGAGAAAACAGCACAGGTAGTCGAGAGGAGGGCAAAAGGCATAAGAAAGCAGAGAAACAATTTTCCTCAGTTTAAATTCATACCCTATGTGGAGAAATTCTTCTGCATAGCCATTTAGCTAACCCATCTTCATTAGGGTGGCTAATTCTTTGAGGTCAAGTATGGCAACCCCGTGTATTGTCAGAAATGGAGGTAACTTAACCTTCGATTTGCTATGCTTTGAACTCCATTAAATGGTTGCAGCAGCAGACATCATATTTTATTATTTCAGAGTAAGCACTTAGCACGTACCTGGTGCTCAAAAGAATTTGTCAGTTTGAAGTGGATTAAGAGTAATTGGCACATAAAGGGAGGGAGACACAAAAATTGCAGTGTGACAGCAAGAAGAAACCTCTGGCAATCTAAATGTTAAACTGCAACCATGGTACAACTATGGTGCGCGACAAAAGGAAGTACTGCAGTGTGTCATGATGTCTTATGAGGGACTGGAAGAGTCAGTCCCCCTGCAGAAGTGCCTGGATGCTAAGACCTGCTGTGTGAAACCTAGAGAAGAAGGGATTGAAAGGATTTCTTGTCTGGAATCATCACAGAACACCACGTAGCTGCCATTCATTCATTAAACATGTAGAGAATATTATGCTTTAGTAGGAATAGGTGACTAGAAAGGAATGCATATAAAAGGCCTCCATCTTTCCAGGAGCTCCCCACCATAGGATGGAGGTCGGGGGCAGTAGGGTCCCAGAGGAGAAATGCTGTCAACATGGAGTGAGAACAGCTGGGCAGTGGCCAGGCAAATATTTAAATCGGAAGATGAGACTTGGAGTAACCAGTGATTGGGTACCTTAGCTCAAGTGCCCTCAGCCCCTGCCTGCATCTCCAGCCTCTTCCCCTGAGAACTCTGACTGGCATTGTGGCCCAGCACAGCATTCTCTTGGGCACAATTTAATGATTAATCACTCTGATCCTTTGTTTCTGTGTCATGAGCATGATTAATAATGTGTTCATGTGCAAATCTTATTTACTAGGCATACTCTTTGAGAACACTGAGTGCAATGAAGCTCTTGTGCATATGTCTTCTGTTTCCTGACTCTTACACCACACCAGCTCCCAAGGTCCCCTTGGTAGTTACTGGCATTGCTTCTCTTTCTGGTTTCTTTTCTTTTGCTTTCCTGCCTCCCTTCTGACTTTCATGGCAAGAAAAGGAAGCTTCAGACCTGGAAAAATCTCTAAAGATAAACACCTATAACAAACCCTTCATATTTTGTTCTCATCATTGTCTCTTTTAATGTGTTGCATCATTCACTTTTTTTTTCATTTTGTTTACACTCTTACAAGACTCCAAGGGAGTAGAAGAAAGAAAGCAAGGAATTAATGGGAAAGCAAGACCTCCATGTCACCCGCTTCACTTAATCTTTCCAAAAACCCTATGAAGCCTATTTTAGAATCCTTAATTTATAGGTGAGAAGGGGCTGATTAACTGGTTAAGTGACTTGCTCAGGAAACCCAGTGTGGAGCAGGAGAACCAGATGTGTATTGGTTCCACTCCTCTTATTAACTTCTGAAGTTTCATCACCAGATCAGAAATCTTAAATGGTTCTTGATGTAAGTGTTGACCTTGGAACTAGTCTTGCCCTGTTTCCCAGACAATCACATTGCCTATAAGACAATCCAAATCCAACATGGCTACACATTGCTTGGGACAGCAAGTTTTAAATGTCAACTTGGCATAAGGTATAATCAGCTGGCAAGAGCACGTCAGTGGAGGATGGTCTACATTAGCCAGCCTGTAGCCTTGTCTGTCTTGATTACATAAATTGATGTGAAAAAGACTCAGCCTAAAAGTGGTTGGCCTGATCCCTGGGTGTCAGTTGCAAACCTTATAAAAAGGAAAAAGTGGGTAGAGCACATGCATGTCTTAATTGACTGTTCCTTCCTCTAGATTATGGATGTTCCTACTTCCGGTTCTTGTCACCTTGACTTCCCAGCAATGATGAATTGTAGCATGGACTTGTGAGTTAAAATAAGCTCTCCACCTCCTCAAATGATTCTGCCACTGTATTTTGTCACAGGAAAAGAAGTTTAGATGTTTCCTACTTGAGACAAATGCATAAAGAATCAAGCATGAGATGTCTTTTTTTTTATCCTTTATTAGGCATCACCAGGCTTCCCTCCACCAGGGCCTAACTGGCTCATGTAACGCTTGCACTACGAGAAGAGTATCTATCTCCTCACTGTTTCCCACTACATGTGACTTCACACTTTTTTATTTGGCAGCTAGTGATGAACTGCATATCAGCACCGTATCTGTTCACATTTCCTCTTAAGCTTTATTTTTATTTATTTATTTTTCGGTTTAAATTTAGATAAGAAACAAGGCTGCTTCACAAGTCAGTTCCAGGTCCCTCTCCCTTTCCCTCCACTCCTAAACAAGTAGCTATATTTCTGCATTTTTATAATACAGACAACTAAGTGCTGTGAATGGCATCAATTACATGTAGGCTAGTGTGTGTGCCCCTCAAGTGCCTTACAACAGAACCAGCTGGCCATGCATGGCATACTTTACAAGATGGACAGTGCTTCAAGTATATATATCTTGACAAGTGATAGATATTAAATTTTAACAAACAGGAAACAGAAAATATGACAATATACTAAACACTATTGTGTTCATGCAGTTAGGATACCCTATGTTAATTAAAAAATTATGTTATTGTATTCAGTGATCAAATCATTGTGCTAGATAGGTTTGCTTTCTAAGGTTAGTGGGGCGTCACTGAATATTTATGATAATTGAATACAATGACAGACTATGCAGGTAAACTGCATGTCATCATAGAATCATATGGCCTTCCATTCTATCCAAACTTGTATTAAATTTTCTTGAAAACTTTGAAGTCAGTTACTCCATGAATAACACTGTCCTCTCAGATTCACAGAGATGGCTTTGATCTGAATGAAGCTTTCTTTGCATTGTCTTCTCTATAGATTGGCATTTATTGCACAATTGAGCACTTCAGAGGTAGAAGAGCAATGCCATTGTTATATCAGAAGGGCTCACTAATTATGTTATTCATTTTCTTATAGAGACTTCATGGTGTTTATATGAAGACACATAACAATAACACTTACCACCAGAATGTAACGTGGTCTATACTGAATGGTTCCAAATAAACCCAATATGACAACTATTATATGCAGGAAATTTCCAAGAATGGGTGCCCACTGGAAGCCGAGGAAGTCAAAGATCTGCCTCTCCAGGGCTGAAAGCTGCAACAAAACAGAAGTAGTTCATTAGTGGCTAACCCAGGCTCTATTACATCATTTTCATTATTTACTTACTCCTAGTAACAGAAATCTGCATATTCCATTGCAATTGTACTTGCAGAATTTATTCTTCCTTTCTTTCTCTCTTTCTCTCTCTCTTTCTTTCTTTCTCTCTTAATTCCCCCATTTCTTTCCCTTCTTCCCCCTCTTTCTCTTCCTACTCCTTCCTTCCATTCTTTTACATGGTACTGGTGAGCAAACTAGATGGTCCTGTGTTGTGGAATAGAGCATATGATTAGTTATTTGTTACAAAATAATTGTTTAACTATGTAAAGGTATGTTGCATTTGCTTGTGCTGCATTTGTTTAACTATGTAAAGATGTGTTACTGTTTCACTTTGTCTGCCTAAGAAACCTGATTGATCTAATAAAAAGTTGAATGGCCAATAGCTAGGGAGTGTAGGGACAGGCAGGGCAGGTGGGCAAAGAGAAAAGGAGAGCCAGTCAGAGATGGAGGAAACCAGGAAGCAGGATGGACAGTATGTAGATGAGGTAATCAAGTCTCAGGGCAGCACATAGCTTAATAAAAATGGGTTAGTTTAAGTTAAAAATGAGCTATCTAGAAACAAGCCTAAGCTAAGACCAGGCAATCATAATTAAAAACAAGTCTTCATGTCATAATTTGAGGACTGGTGGTCCAAGAAAGTCTGCTACAGACGTGTATGCTAAACACTGGTCTACACCATCAGCCTTCATCATTAGGACCTATTTAATGAACTTCTTAATGTAGTTTTCCTCAGAAAATATTGTAAAATTACTTTGAATATTATGACTTAAAGTATAGATTTTAAACCTTTCTCAGCTCATGATCTAGATATGCATACTTCTTAAATTATTGTCTACAGAAAAAACTTCCAGGAATAGGATATGTCTTAAATAAAATAACAAGTGGTTATTTTAGCACAATATACATAAGAACAATAACAGTAGCTTTAAGTTTGCTATAAAACAACTGAAATTGAATTCGAACAAAGCAAAATAATCCATTATCTTCCTGTATGAATTATATATAAACAATTTTGTTTCATATAGGAAAAATTCCCCAAAACTCATGTGTTGAAAGTGTGGTGCCTATTCACTAGTGTCAGAGTAGGGCAATTGGTAGGTAATGGGCCTTCACCTGAACCATGGACTAATTTCATGACTTAATGGATTATTTGGAATCTGCAAGGCTGAATTCATGCTGGAGCAAGTAGGTCATTGGGTGTAGCAGCATCTTGCCTGTGAACTCATAATGGTGGCCACACCCCTTTGGACATGGTTTTAGGCAGATGAAGCAGAAAGAGAAAAGTCTGACGCATGGTCTCTCTCATGGTTTCTCTCCCTTAGGTCTGTGGATCCGATCAGAAAGGCACAGAAATGCTCCTGTGGTTCTTTGTTATTATCTGTGTAAGTGTTCCCCAATAAATGCCCATTTATCATTTATTTTGCATCTAGTGAAATCATTACAATTTTGCCTTCAGTTAACGCATCTATTTGCTTTCTTTAATCTTCAGGGCACTTCTAGGAGTGAAGCCAGCTAAACACTTTCTCAGTATGATTCCTAGTTACTTTGTTACACTAAGACTGTGATCCTAACAAAAACTGGAGTGAAAGAGTCCTATGAACCCTTGTTAAATCACATACTAATGTTCAGATTAGGTAAAATCCTTTCTGAATACGCTAATAAAAATTATGGTACCATAACAATTTTAGAAATGTCACAGAAACGTATATTTGCATTATATATAATTACATTTAAAGCAATTGTCCAATGAGTCAAACTACATACTTAACAATTTATTATTAAACAATAAATGTCAGAAAGTCCAGTGAACACTGGCAATGTCATTAACACATACAAATGGTACTTCTTGTATTTTAAATCTACGTGATGGAGATCTTTTTTAAATTTCATTTGATAAAATAGTAATTCTAATAAAATGATTCAACAATTAGCCATATTGACAGCAGCAGAAACTGAATATTTAAAATGCAAATGGCACCCTAGGTATTTTTCTACTTATGCAGCAGGTGTACGCCTGAATAAGTTTAATTTCCTTGTACATAAAGAAAAGTCCTCTATTCTATAAGGGGAATTTAAGCTGTGGAAAAGAGAGAAAGGAGAGAGAAAGAAAGAGAGAGAGAGAGAGAGAGAGAGAGAGAGAGAGAGAGAGAGAGAGAGAGAGAGAGAGGATGCTCAAAGGCAATCACACTACAGCTACAAGGATGTCACAGGTGCATTCTAACTATGAAATGTGTTGTCACCACTTCCTGCATGCATAAATGTGCAGAAAGAACCATCCTCAGAATAAGCAGAGCAATGGAAGATGCTGAAGCATATTCTCAATCTCTGCTTTTCTATGCTACTGACTCTAATTAGTTCCCAGGAAACTTCCCTGAAGGAAGCAACATTTTTATTTATTGGCGCATCAGAGATATAAATATGCACTGTTTTATGTTCAAATAGGACGCATAGGCTCAGAATAAAGCAACCCTGAAGAGCAGCCACGGGCAATTCATTCTGGAACAGAAACCCTATTTTATAGCTGTCATGCATCACAGGAACCTTTAAAGTGAACTTTTCAAACAGAGAAAAACTCTCTTCTCTGCTGTCAGATAACACATAGTTACTGTTCCCTTTTATAAAATGAAGAAAAACATCATGAAGGCAGTCAAATTAATGATAATTATTAGAAATCTGCTGCCTTCATTCAAGATGCTCTATCTCCATTAACATTTATTTTCTGAGCACTTAACTAATGGATTTGAGATGGGTTGGAATAAAAGTACAAACAAAAGTCATTTGAAAATAGGCAGAGGCTGGTGTGGCAGTGTACATCTATATTTCTATCATTTAGGAGACAGGGGTTGGGGGTTGCAAGTTGGAGGTAATATTTGGCTACATAGTCTCCAAATACAGAAATAGACAAAAGAAAAAAAAACATAAGGGTTATGTATCAGCAACAAGGTACAGGACTTCTGTTACAACTACGTTTACTATGAAATTGAGACAGGTGTATGTTGAAAATCAACAACGGTAGTAATAACAGAAAGTACTTTAAAAAATAAAATAACCCTGTTTTTCTAATAATCATGTGTAAGTATTGTCTTTATCTATTTAGTTCACCAACAAAAAATATTATCTCTGAATGTCACAATCTCTTGAAGTACCTAGGACAGGACAGTAATGATTCATAGTCACTACAAGGAATGAAATAACATACAAGTCACTTTGTTATCTTAGCAAAAGTGGGACTATGCAATAGAATTGCCACTATCAGTGGTATAATGGAGCCCCAGGCTCTTGCTTGGAATATGAACCATGTTCATCTCTTGCCCAATCTGAAGTCATTTAACTAGTGATGTCAAATTGGGAACTTGATGTTCACCAGGAAGGGAATATTTACAAAGGAGAAATTGTACAGTGCTACAATCAGAGTTTCTTTTCATGTTTTTACATTTTAATTTTGAATACTTATATGCACATCATCATATACAAGTAGCTCTTTGGTGACAGTGGTTGTGTCTCAGTAGAGCAAGGACAGCCAGTTGCGAGTTCTGCAAAGTACCATAAACAAAAGCAAGCAGGTTCACAGGAGAGCATCAGGATAAGGGGTAGGATCAGCAGGTTCACAGGAGAGCATCAGGATAAGGGGTAGGATCAGCAGGAGGTAGTGAGTTGTCAGGACACCCAGAAAGGTCTAAAGCCACAGCAGATAGAGAAGAGAGGGCACGAAGACATGTGAAAAATGTGAGAATTAAGTAAAGGGGGAGAAATCAAGCAAGCATAAAAGCAATAAGACCCTTCAAGAAAGCAACGCCAAGTACTTATCAAACTGAAATAAAAGAGTAACCACTAGGTTCCTACAAATTAGCAAAAAACACAGGTGAGTCATTTCTAGGTGAAAGTTAAAGTAGGTAATAACAGGAGAGCTGAATAGAGTATGATTGAAAGTGAATTTACTTCTTTCTGTAATTAGGTAAAAAATTAAAAGCAATCAAAATTATAATAAAAGACACCAAGTCCCTATGGCTTATAGATTCACACATTGCCATTAACTATTCACCGGGTATCTTGAAGAATTTCTTATTGTTCATAATATAAAAATTACTTATATTCAGATAAAGAGTTGTAAAACCTCTGAATACCATCAAGTTTCTGGGCATTTTTCTAGGTTGTGCCCTTACAATAAGATTGCATCCAGACAAGAGATCAGAAGGAAGCCCTTCCTTTCTTCCTACCTTTCTTCCTTCTTTCCTCCCTCCCTCCCTCTCTCACTCCCTCCCTCCCTCCCCCTCTTTCTTTTTATTAAAGAGGACACTTGAGAGCTGTAAAATTCATTTGAAGTTATCTTTGACTTGTTTATATTTATCTCATTTTGTTTGATTTAATTGTACCTATCAATTTTAAAAATCTGACAGAATTGGTGAGTGGTTTTTCAGAAGAGAGAGGTGAGCCATTATGCCCATGGTCTTTGAACAGCCCGCTTGCTCAATAAAGACCGATGCAATAGTTTTAACACCTCAAAGTATTTAGAAAACTATCAATAATCAGAAGTAAGAGATCTGATCATTCTTGCCCTACATGCTAAAGTATATATTATTATTCATTAGCTTCTAGGCAACCTACTCTAGGACCCTTGTGGCTACTGAAGTCTGGCTTCTCAATCAGCATGTATACAATTGCATAGTGCTTGCATGTAATCTATACACATCCTGAAGCTGACAGCAAATTCTCTCTAAATTAGTTACAACACTCAGATACTGCACAGATGCTTGTTAAAATGCATCATACAATAATGACACAATTTCCCTATATTTTCCATTTGAAGCTATTTAAGCCATAGATACAGAAATCATGGACATCAAAAGACAGCTATGCATGATATAATCTAGTATCAAGCTATTTGAAATTAAAACACCAGTTAAGTCCTTATTCTTGTCTTAAGTAAAAAACTTTAT